CAAACTGGTGGCCAGTGGGCTGGATGTGTCATTGCACAGGCCATGTCCACCCCAACTCCACAAATGGGGAAACATCATGAAACATCACATGACAGCAACATGATGTGGTGAGTTTGACAGCCGTGGACTAGAAGATCTCCAAGATCCCTTCCAACTCTGTTATTCTAATTGCAGGGACTCTGCAATAGCATGAGTATGAGAACTAATTGTAACAAGCACTAATTCAGCATTGTTGTAAGCTTGAACTTTGCTGAATGAGTGGCCATTAAACAAAGACTACTGAACATTACAGAATTTACAATCCCACAGACATCCTGACCATACTCAGCTTACTTCCTATGTTAAGACCTTGGCAGAAGACTCATAGGCTAGATAAGAATCTTTATGGCAAATCAGAATGACACCAAATGAAAGAACTGATTGCCCATTGCCAACATAAGGATGCAGACTCCCGCTTATATGCAGTGGTTAAAACCCTTTGCTTTTTCTTCTTGCTTTTCTCACAGTTCAGTGAATGCTTGGTGAACCTAAAGCTGAATCATTCTTGAATATTTGCATAATTGCCTTTTCTGGTGCGAAAACCCCTGACTCTCACCTTAATGCTCATTTATACAGGAGTTGTAATCCAGACTGTCTAGAGGAAACAGGACTGCTTCCGATAATATTTAATATTTATTAGCATTTATATGTTAATATTTATTAACTTCAAAATTAACTATTGAACATTAATATGTATTAACATTAACATGATATTTATTATGATCTTCTGTAGTGGCTTCAAGACTCCCACCTACTATTTCTTTTGAATCCATTATGTTAAAACTGCTCTTTTAATTCATAACATGGAGCAGATACAAGGTCATCTTAGCTCTGTTATAATAATGCACTTTTACCACTAGCTTTTTTCAATTATTATTGTATTGGTTTTTCATAGTGTATTTTTGATGTTTAAATCAACTATCCACAGCATGAGCAAAAAGCAATGACTACATTTCAAATGCAGAAATGCAAATACAGTCAGACTGTCTTTTAAATTTCTAAATCAATTAAATCTTTGCTTCTTAAATCAATTAAAGCTTTGCTTCTTAAAACTTGAGGCAGTTTGAACCTCTCTAAAAATAACTTTCCGAGATTATCTCTACCTTCTTATAAGATACATGCAGGGGTGGGATTCAAATTTTTTAACAACTGGTTCTGTGGGCGTGGCTTAGTTGAGTGTGGCTTTGTGGTCATGTAACTGGGTGAACATGGCTTGGTGGTCATGTTATTGGCTGGGCGTGGCCAACTCAATATCACTCACATCGAGGCACGCATCTCCTCACCTGGCCTCTCATGACTGTGGGGATGCTGCAACAGTCGTGTGAAAAATGGTCATAAGTCACTTTTTCAGTGCCACTGTAACTTTGAATGGTCACTCCACACAAGCAAAGTACCAGAAAAGGAGGGGAAAACACTCCAGAGAAGTTCCTGAGACAGGAAGTCCAGTCCTGCCAAGAATGTAATAGGGGTTAACGGAGAGACAGTTTCTGTAAGCAATCCCAGAATGTTTCCTTCCTGCCTTCCTTACAGGACTAGGCCAGTAATTTCTTCTAACAACCGGTTCTCCAAACTGCTTAGATAGAATGTTAACAACCAGTTCTAGCGAATAGGTACAAACTGGTAGAATCCCACCCCTGGATACATGGCTAGAAAAGAGAACTCCTTCTCTGTGGTTGTATCCAAATCTTGATGTATCTCCTTAAACGGGAAAAAACCCAATACCAGCTTCCTGAATTTAGCTGCTCTTTCCTAGGATATATGTTTCTTATCCTTGGGAATCAGTCTTACTATTTTTGGCTTGTTGTTTATTAGTCTTATGCCACTTTTTACGGTTGTTATTTTAGAGTTGATAATGTTTTGTTAAATACTTTTCACCTTGAAACCTGTGCAAAAGATAAAATGGCAATTTTAAAACAGAAAGGAGAGAGTAAACAAACTTTCAGCCTGATTGGCATAACCAGTAAGAATAAATTAGATATGCTTAGCATGAGAAAAAGATGTCTGGGGCAGAAATAATTGCATAATTCAAAAATCAGCAGCAGAACCAGATGGATAGTCAGATCACATTTATCGCTATCCCAGACCACAGGAGATGGAATGATGGTTTTAAGTTCCAGGATGGCATTTAATGGTAGGAGAAACTTCTTAAAAGTAAGGGAAGTTTGTGTCATTTTTATTATCTTCTCTCCTCTCCTCGCCTCCCCTCACACCTCACACCTCATACCTCACTTTATTTTTTTTATTAAGAACTTACATGGTGACCCATTTCATGGAATGATTCTGGGCAGCTCACATTCAGCAATTAAATCAAGGTTAAAAACAAAACGACCCTTCTCCTCAGATGCCAAGAGTGATATATACTCTAGATACATAAATGTAAGAAGCTGGGTAGGCATCTGTGGAGATGCTTTAGTTTGGATTCCTGAGCTAAGTAGGGAGTTGGTTTTAATAGCCTCAATAGCCCTCATTCTCTACAATTCTGTAAAACTGAAAAAAATGCTATTAGATTCTGCATTCATATGATATGGAAGCTGGTGTTGTTTTTTTATTTAAAGGAGATAAGCTAATGCTCTTTCTCTTCTCTTTTTATTTACCAGTTGCAAGTTCTATAAATGGAGGATTTATACATCTTAACTCAAACACTAGTAAAAAAAAAGACAGTGGTGTCATAGATAGATGAAAATATAATTTATATCAGATTGGTGGGTATTACAGAACCTTGAGTTCAGAAGAATTATAGTGTGCCTTTTCATATTATACTCTGTGGCTAGTATTATTCTAGCCATAGCTGCCAGTTCCTATATCTCAAATAAGAACAATGATGCATACTGTATTATTTTCTTCTTGTAATTACTAAAATGAATTTAACTTTTAATGACACATTACAGATCAGATTTCTGCAAAGCTGTCCCCCACCCCTTTGGAAAAAAATCCAGCATTCTTTTGAGGGTTTTACCTCAATTTCCCCTTTTCCTTACGGTCCAGAAGTTCATATGTATGTATGTATGTATGTATGTATGTATGTATGTATATATATGTATGTATGTATATGTATGTATATTAATGTCAAGAACCTTTATTCACTTTCTAAATAGGTGGTGGTATTTCTATTAACCTTTTGCTTCTTCATGTATAGATTATAGATGAAGAAGAAACACAGTTCATGAGTAATTGTCCTGTGGCTGTGACAGAGAGTACACCAAGGAGGAGGACTCGCATTCAGGTGTTTTGGACAGCTCCTTCTTTGGGCACAGGCTGTGTAATTTTGAAGTAAGTAAATTTATGGTCTAAATATATGATTGAAAGCATAGTTTGCTGCATATACTGTACTTTATGACTTTACACCAATTTTAGCCTCACTTTAGCTGTATTATGAGATCCTCAGAGGCAATCATTCTCGAGGTTTAATGCTCTGAATGCCTGTAAACATTGGGGAAATATTTATACAGAAAATTTACTACAAACACATACACGTTATCTTTTGTATAATACAATTTATGCATGGTCCATATGATTCCATTCTAATAATGTTATGATGGGGGCATGAGCATATGTAGATTTTTTGCTACCTCTGGCTCAGGAATTCTTGGAGTTGAAGTCTATACCACAATCATAAAAGATCCATAGTTCCCCAACTCTGGTCTAGGAGGATCCCCAGATCTGTCTGAGGTAGTGCCACCCCATCCAGAAGAATCTTGTCTCTCAAATCTCCAAATAAATACCCATAGCCACCCTGTCTTGCTAGACTTGAATTGGAGCCCCTTTTGCCCTATCCAGACCCAAACAATCTCCAAACATAACATCACTCAAGGGGCATGGAGAGGTTTAACATCCACTAGAGGACATCCATGAATGTGATAAATGCTGCTTCAATCCCAAGACCTAGCCTGAACCCTGATTGAAAGGAGTCTAGCTAAAATGAAGAAAACTTGTACAGTGATGGGGAAGAAATAAGCCACACATTTCTGAAGCATAAATCAAGATATACCCATCTTGATAGAATAAGCATATGTCTTCTTGAGGTCAAAGGCTGACTCATGGGTAGTTGGCACATAGTCATGATGTTATACTCAGTATAACAGTATAATTAGTTATCAGTATAACTTTGATAAGCATCAATCCATTTTGTAGGATTAGGTAACTCAGAGGAAGCATACTTCAACCAAGAATTCAACACTTCAGTGAGGCATCTAATTTTGTGACTATTATAATAAGACACTGGTGGGTCAAGTTGGCTTCTCTAATAACCCTCCATTGCGCAAAATCTGTCCCTGCAAACTGGAACTCCCCCCCACCCCCCAGCTCTAGTTTTCTTCAAAATCTACTTAGCTGTCTTGAGAGATCCCACAGTAGGCATTTGAGACATCAGAAGTCTTCAGAGAATGATTTTGGCTTATCTGATTCAGGATAAAATGCTTCCATCAGCAAAATGATATCATTGAGTTCAATTCACTGCATTCTTATAATTTATTTATTTAAACTCTTAAATAATTATTGAAAGTAGTTATGAGCTTTTAAAATGAGGTATTTAAATTAAAAGCACTTGAGATTTCAATTTTAGCCATCTGGTGCTTGTATAGCATGATTTATTAAAATATTATACATTTATTCCCAGATTAATTTCAGTTTTCCATCATATATGAAACCTGTGTTGTGTTTGTTGATTTGCTTCCAATAATGTATTCTTCTAAAATGTCAAATTATACTTGGCACAATGTAATTTGAAAACCTGGTCTTGGTAGAAATTGTGCACATGTAAAACTGGAAAAGAACATTTTATTCTTTTTTAAAGGCAAAGTACAGAATTTGCTTCTTTCAGCATAAATATTCCTTTTCTGGTTTGTTCATGTGTCTCTTTTTGGATGTGACGGTTGAAAAACTTGAAAAGGACATAAAACCTGCCAAATTAGAGATTTGGCAGATTTAGAACATCATTTACATGCATTTTTAAAAGTCACAATCCTTTGGGGAACTGTGCAGCTGGAACACCAAGTTGAATGTTTGCAAAACAAAATATATGCAGGCTTCAGAAGTTAATACCATGAAGATCTTTTAGAGCTTTGCTTTGTCAGCTCCCCAAATAGTATTTCCTTCAATATTAAATTGTTAATTGTCCCTCCCCTGAGATTTTGGATGTGGAAGATGAACCAGCTGGTAATGAAAAGATATTTTAAAAGCTTGAGGTTCAATGATTGCCTTTATGTAAGGACACCTTGACCTACTCTTTCTAGCACATTTCTGAAGTTATGACTTTACTGCCTTCCAAACATAAAGGCTAAAGTTTGGAAATGGAAAGTTTGTGAAGGTTCCCTGTGAAACTCCATATTCAATGAGGATAGGAATGGAGTAGATCCTAAGGCTAAAGACAACAACATTTTTTTGGTCACCTCATCACTATCACCTTCATATCATGTGTAATATAGGATGAGGAATGACTAATGCAAATGATGGGTTCCTTTGTTTTGGTTTTCACTGTATTTCAAATATCAGTTTCACATCATAAAGGACTAAGCACCCCACCTGCAAATCATGCCCTTCTAAGGTTAGTATTCTTTTATTCCTTAAGTTGACCCAATCTTTGATCCACATTAAGGCTTTATAATATATTTCCCAGGCAGGGAGTCCAAATCCACCTCTGCATCTATTATCTTGTAGTGCACTCAATTTTATCCTTGTTCTTTTTCCTGCCCAAACAAATTTCATAGTCATTTTATTTAATTCCCTAAAAAACAACTTCTTATAGTGACTCACCAAATATATTTGCTAGCAAAAGCTTGATAAATTCATTAGTTTGATTCATTTGTTTTAACCAGGTGATTATTATAGATTTCTTATTTCAACCAGTTGAAATGCAATAAAATTGAAAGAACTGTCTATGAAGTTCACATGACAATTCCAGATGGGGATTTGATGAACATTTCTAAAACCTAACACACTAAGTTAATTAAGAAAACAAGTTAGGTTTCTAAGTTTATTCTTGGCTTACTTTGAGGCTTGTAGTAACTTTGCAGGGTAGAAGAGCAAGTGAGACTAATTGTCTAAGCAGGTATGAAAACTTACACCGAAGAAAACCAATTACTTTTTTGATAATATAAAGATTATTAACCCTTCATATATTTAAAGGGATATAGATATACAAGTATTTAAATGATAGTAAGTAGCTTGTGAGGTCCAGCAGACACCAATTTACTAAATTTCAGAATTTAATCATGTTTTCTTGGAAACTGTTGTTCTAAAAATATTGAGTAGCTGATTATGATGATCGTGCTAAATTGCCCTTCTTTAATTAATTACAGTGCTGAAGAACTCAAGCATATTGTCATGCTGCTCCTATTTATTATTGAAGCATAAGTGCTCACTGGGAAGGAATTAGGAGCTCTGCTAAATAAATGTACATGAATATCTGGAAAGCAACAAAAGAAAAGTAAAAGCACAGCTCATGTATATGCATATTTCTTAACTAATGGTTTTTTATTTTTCACAAATTGTCATTTTCAACATTTTAAAATCATTCAGTATCTCCAGAGGTGAACAATTATATCTAGGTTAGCACTGAAAGACTTCGAAGGGAAGTAACAGTGGGAATCATTGTAAAAGAGCAAGATAAATTCTCTGAATTATCAAGAGCTAAGATCTGATTTATAAGCTCAGTCACACCAAAGGAGTTTTAAGTTGATTTTAATGGGAACAAACTCTGGCCTTTACAGATCTGTCCTTTTCGATCCCCTCTTGAAATGAATCCTTCATTCATCTGCATTGCAAGCAGTAAAAAGGCAGAGCTCCATCACTTCCTAGTTATTTGCTGTTTGTAAATGAATATCATGGTTAATTTAGGAGCCTGGCAGCTGTGGAACATTTGCCATTCCGCTACAGCTGTCAGTGGTCCTCTGGTTTGTTTTATAAACAGATGTTTAATTTTATTTCAGTCTGCTTATCGGTGATGGTTTTCTTCTGCTTCTATTTGAGGAAAAGTGATGAGAGAAAGGAAGTGTAATAAATAGGATGCTCGTTGGTTTGTGTCTTACAAAATAAAACTCTGGATAATTAATGATAACATTCAAAACCTTTAAGATGTCTTTGCTGGAGAATGATTGACCCATTTTTCCTTTTTAAAAACCTGCAATCCTGAGTTTATTGTCACAGAATGGGTGTCAACAAAATGTTCTCTAGTTCAGTGGGACACTGTTTCAAGGACAACGAACAGATGGCATTTATTTTCCCAATATAATCAGTGTTACTAATAGTTTTTTTTTTATTCTGAATGGAAGAATCAGTGTTATTTGTGGAATTATTGATAGATTTGTAATATAGAACACAATCCACTAATAATTTCAGGGGAATATTAATTCTACAGTTGGAAGCTTGATCATGAGCATAGCATAGTTTTCCCTCAATTATTGCCCTCCAGATGTATTATTAATTGCTTACAAGATAATAGGTATAAGTAAACACATAGTTATGAATACATGGCTACATATAAGAAAAATAAAAGAAACAATAGGACAGGGACGGTAGGCACATTCGTGCGCTTATGCATGCTCCCTACAGACCTCTTAGGAAAGGGGTGAGGTCAACAGTAGAAAATCTAAGGTTAAAGTTTTTGTGGTTTGGGGAAGAAACCAGAGTCAGGTAGAGTATTCCAGACATTGACCACTCTGTTGCTGAAGTCGTATTTCCTGCAATCAAGTTTGTTGCAATTAACTTTGAGTTTCTATCTATTGATTGCTCTTGTGTTGCTGTGGTTGAAGCTGAAGTATTCATTGACAGGTAGGACATTGCAATGTATGATTTTATATACTATACTTAGATCAGACTGAAGGCGGTATAGTTCTAGGTTTTCTAGGTCTAGAATTTCGAATCTGGTGGCATAAGGTATTCTGCAACGAGTAGAGAAGTGGAGAACTCTTCTTGAATATTTCTGGACTTTCTCAACTATGTTAATATCAGATAGATAATGTGGGTTCCAGACTGATGAGCTGTATTCAAGTATTGGTCTAGCAAATGTTTTGTATGCTCTAGTTAGTAGTGTAATATTACCATAATAATTTTATAATTTTATTATATATATATATATATATATATTCTTAAGTTTTTGCAGGTACTTACATGTATGGTATTCAGCTTTGTTCGGGTATTTCCCAACGCCATTGTAGTTGTGCTTTTAAAGTTGTAGCAACGTTTCGGCAGAATCTCATCTGCCATCATCAGGCTTCTGTATTGTGTTCGTCTGTGAGTCAGACTTTTACAGTTGTTACAGTTTTAAATTTGGG